TTTTTGGCATCTGCATTTTTTGAGAACACCTCACACTTCTGCAAAAAACATGAATTCATTTCTAAAAAAATACAGGTAAACTCACGGACCATATATCTCATGATAAAAAATGACAAAAAAAAAAAATTGTTTTTCTTTATATATATATTTTTTGATTTTCTTTAAATCCAATTTTGTTTTTTATTTTTTAAAAATCCTAAATAAAGTCGGAATTAAAAAAAAAAAAAGGGTTTGTAGGGCTAAAAATTCCCTACAACCCCATATATATATATATTTTTTACCTATTATTTAATTCAGGAAACTTCGTGTAATATCGGGTCCACGGTGCGGACCAGGTAGGCCGCGGATGCGGACCCATTTGGGTCCGCGATCCGAGCTCGACCCCACGGACGCGTCTGCGGGTGTTTCCCTATTCTACGACAGCGAGGTGACGATCACAGTGGTGGGAGTTAACACGAGGTGGTCGGGATTGTCGGTGCGGGTATGAGGATTGATGATTGGAGTTGAGTGAGTGATTGGCCTGGGGCCATACTGGAATTAACGATGAATACGCCTTTGTTGTTGCGGATCTTTCTCTCTAACAACGCTAAACTTCCTTCTTTTGGGTTGCTTTATCTCCTATCTCGACTCTCCCCCCCCTCACCTTCCCCTTCTCCTCTATCTTTGAATAATGATGTGTCTCGATGCTTCTCTCCTTCTCTCTCTTTCCCTCCTCTGGATGAGTATGAATGTGTATGCTTTCCTTGCGTGAAAGAAACTTCTTTCGGAGTTCTTCCATTAGTTTCCTGGGTAATCCTCCCGCACAAGGACCCCGTCTTCTTGTCTTGTGAACGGTGAATGCGCGTGTACTATGCAAGCAATCCATCTTTTCCTGTGCATGGCTCATTTTTCGCATCTTCCACAGTGAATGAATATATGGAAATGTGCGTCTCTTTGGCATTGATTAGATGATTGCCGTCGGCATTTTGTCCGAGAATGCAAGAGTGTTTAGATCTGTAGCTTTGAGTGCACTGCGCATGCCATCTGCCTTATGCTGTCCGACATCAGCAGCCGAACCACGAGGCGGCCTCGAGAAACAAGGCGCCTGGGATCAACGTCGCGCTGACTCACTAAACCTGAGCCACGGATCAGTCCCTTAGTTATATGGGTTATCAAGCTGCTGAAGTGTCTTCTTTCTCTCTCTCTCTCTCCCGCTCGTGTTGACAGAAATTGTTTATGAGTTGCGCGAGTGTTTTATTTTCTTGATGACGTCGCAAGGTCTTTACAATTGATTGATATGTGGACTAACCAGTACCCTGCGATCGAGCACCAGCCTCACGTACCTCCCGTCCCAACACGGCCTTTTTCGTATAACGAGGGAAGAACACGTGTATGTGAGTGAGACGTACGAGAAGCCGTTGCACAAATCGGCGGACGATACTACTTCCCTCTGGCAAATCGTTGTTCCGGGTTTGTAGAGGCTGGGTTTGTCATTATCGATACGCACTTCCCACCTTACTCGATATTGTTGTCATTCAACGAGTTGATCGTCATCCCGTGGACGGCAGTAGAACCCCACTGGCCGCGCACTTTATGCACCGAATGCCAGCGTTTTGAGCACTAGGAATCCAGGGGTTTTCACTACCGTGTGCGGAGTGAAGACGAGCATAAAGAAAGAGTCACGAGGCTGAGACCATCCACGTCGGACTCGTAACTGACCATCGAACGACGACGAGATTTGATCCGAAAACGAGACACGCGGAGTGTGCCAAAGCCTTTCCGTTCTAAACGACTGGCTGTAGCCCGGTGGGAAGCCCGACAATACTTTTTGGATTGAATTTGGATTTTTCTCTTTTCGCGCCGTGCCCACGCTCGCATTCCGTGACGCGCGAAAGCAATCGACTTGCTTCATTGGACCAACACGGGGGATTTCAGTTCCATCTGTGTCCCCACACTCAATTTCCAAAAATCCTTGGCACACCCCATCTTGCTGTTTTTCTGGGCCTTTTTCGCACGCCTAACACTCCGAACGAAAGACAGCACAGGGCGTGAGGTTGCGCGTCACATGTCCGAGCATGTACTGGTCCTTCGGGGCCGCTTGCATGGACAAACAGCGAGGTAAAGCCCGAAACCTGGTTCCCGCCGAAATCCGTCTTTTCCTTCCTAGGAAAGACAACTGTCATCCGAAGCAAACACACACACACACACACACACACACACACACACACACACACACACACACACACACACACACAC